AACAGAGTGGGACTCAGGGCAGGATCCCCATGGAAATGAAATAGAGTGCCCATTAAGAACCTAGGGATCTTGGGACCAGTTGTTGGTGTAATGTTGCTGGACTCCCATGTAATAGTCGATCGTGGTTCGAGTCCTGAACCCAGTGGCTTAAACTCAGGCCAGGCACGTGTGCGTGCGTGCCCAAGATCCTGAGAAGAGAGTGGAGGAGAAGGGATTGCAGGGTGGCCATCCCCTGTAGGGGATGATTTCTCGCTTTCTGTCTCTCTGTGTCTCTCTGTCTTTCTGACGAGTGCACGCGCCCTGTAGCAAAAACTTCTCAAAATAATAATAATAATAAGCAACAGCAGCAGCAGCGGCTAGGGGTCCAAGAAAATTTAATGTTAAAAATAAAAAGAACCTAGGGGTCCATGCACATGAGATAGGGTGAGCTCCCCTGTGCCAGGGAGTGAGTCCTTTCCTAGGACTCCAGGGCTGGGGATGAAGGGTCAGAATGGCCCTAAAAGCTGCAGACATTCAATTGGGAATGCAGAGACTCAGATACCCCTGCTCCTTCTGAACCAGGGTGTTTCTGTGTCCTTCCTGGGCCTTGCTTCCTTTAGGCAGTTCTGAGCCAGGTCCAGTGGCCCATTTGCTGGAGCCAGCTCTTACTGGCTTGGAAGATCCACATCTCTGCAATTCAGTGCCCATATCAGTGACATCATGCTGCTAGCACGAAATGGGCCATGATGGGAGCATTTACACCATGGAAATTGGCAGATGCTATGAACCCAGAGCTTATGTCCCCCCAAAAGGTAGTTGTTAAACATTTACCAGCTTATCTGTTGCCCCACTATTAGATATACCTGTTTGAGAGGTAAATCTGATGTTCAAAGCAGTCCTAGTTCCTCCTCAGTCCTGTTCTAGCCCCTTTGTCCCAAGGTCATGTTCACCAGCTTACTTATCCCTGGTGCCCCGCTAACCTGTGGATGGTGGAGTAATGTGCAAGATGGGAGCCAGCCACGGAGGTGGGGAGGAGGGACAAAGAGGTCTGGGATGGTCGTGCTTGCTGACAACTGTGGGGATGGCAATGATTTTCCCTGCCTGTGCAGAGCAGGGCTGACTGACTTGTCTGTGTCTAGGTCCTTTGCCATGGCAGGTGTCAGATACCCCGGACAGGTGAGTGATGTGGGTTTCTGTCCCCTGGGACCATCACAGGGTCAGATAGCCTCAGCAAGCAGCCACAGAGGAGGGCCAGGCTCTTTGGGGATCCCTCTGGTCATCATTCTGGAATGATTTCTTTTTTGTTTGCAAAAGTCAGAGAACTAAGTGTTCGTGATTTTTCTGGAGGTTCACTTATTTCTTAGTTTGCATTTATCAGGTGCCCACAGTGTGCCAGGCACTGTGCTGAGCTTTGGGGCGGAAGAGATGCCCAAGATAAGGTCCTGATTTAATGTGCTGCATTAAGTCGATTGCCATTCACCCACAGCACTACCAGGAGGGATATAAAGTGTGCTATAAAAGCCAAAGAGAAGGTTGAATTTCGAGAGGGGAGAATAACAGGGTGGGAGAGATGTCTTGGGGAAGTGACATTCAATCTGGGATTCGGAGGATATAGAGGAGTTTGCTAAGTTGGTGAGGAGGGCAATCACATGTCTGCCTGTGTGATGAGTGAGAAGACATGAAGTTGAGGGCCAGAGGGGACCCGGGGAGTAAGACGGTAAAAATGGGTAGAAACCAGATAATGAAGGACTCTGAAAGTCAGCCTCCAAATTTAGCCCTTCCCCTACAAATGAGAAGCCACTGAGTGGCTTTAAGTGGAAGAATGACAACACAGGACGTCTGGTTTTATGTTTTCCCTTGTCCTTTAGGCCCGTGTGGATTTAGACATATACCAAAGCTCCTACATGGTCGACTATAAACCCTTCGGGAAGCACAAATACTCCAGGGTCACGCCACAAGAGGTAAGTAGGCATTCAGTTGTCCAGATAATTGTGCACTAAAATCACTTTTTTAAAAGAAATTTATTTCCCTGAGTAAGAGGTACACACACACAGAGAAATAGAGGCACTCTTAACAAGGTCTGGATGCCACAATCCGCCTCTAACCTTCAGCCAACCCTGGATCACTGGCAATGTGTGTCCAGCACACTCAAGGTGTCTTTGGACTCGAACTGGGAAACTTCCCATGTGGATCACCTCGTAGCACATTATGTTTTACTGCTGCATCACCATGTGGGCCCCCACAATCATTTTAATTTAATTTTTATTGTGAACCTGGATCTCGGGGCTCTTCTTTAGAAAAAATGCCCAATAGGGCCAGCAGGTGGAGTGGTGGTGGATTCCCACATAACCGACTGTGGTTCGAGTCCCAGACCTGGTGGCTTGCTTTCTCACTTTCCCTTTCCCTCTCTCTATCTCTGGTCAAATTAAAATAATAATAATAATAATAATGACAAAAGTAAATAAATAAATAATTCTTTAGAAAAAAGAAAAAATACCCAATACAAGGAGACCTAAATTAGAGGTTGTGTGTGTGTGTGTGTGTGCTTTAAAGTGTATATAAAAGACTGTCTCTGTAGCCTGGTGGTTAATGGAAGCGGGATCCCACATGCTTGACTATGGTTTGAATCCCAGACCTGGTGGATTGCAAAATATGCCAGGCACATGTGTGTGTGTATGTGTGTGTGTGTGTCCCAAAATCTTGACAGGATAGAGCAATGGAGAAGGGATTGCAGCATGACCATGCCCCATGGGAATTACTTTCTTCCCCTCCCTCTCTTTCTCTGGGTCTCTCTGGGGAGCACACACAAACTCTGGTAACCTACAAAAATAAAATAAAATGTATATAAAATATAAATCATGCATTAAAACATCATAAATAATATGGGCCAGCAGGTGGCATGGTGGCCAGGGTGCTGGATCCTATATGGCTGACTCTACAGTTCGATTCCCAGATGTAGTGGCATGAAAAACACACGAGGCTTGCAGGCATGTGTGCCCAAAGTCCTGAGAAAAGAATGGAGGTGAAGGGATTGAGGCATGGTCATCCCCTTTGAGGAGTGCTTTCTCATTTTCCCATTCTCTCTGTCTCTCCATGGCCAGCACACTTTCCCTCTAGCGGATTTTTAAAAAATTCTAAAAACATACAAAATCACTGATAACAGTGTTCTTGCCTTTGGAGATGGGAACCAAATTAAGAGGAGAGTGGGAAAGGGACTTTTCACTATAAACTCTCTTGTAATATGTCAGTATTCTCCTTCATTATATATATTACCATTCAAAAACTGATTTAAATAGTTTTCATTAAAAAAAATTGTCAGCGGGCATGCACACTCACCAGAGAGAGACAGAGAGAGAGAAAGGGGTACAGAGAAAGTACCCCCTTACAGAGCATGGTCACACCATAATCCCTCCTCCTCCGTTTACCCATACTGTCAAGATTTGGGACTCACACACACACACTAGGCAAGATTCCAACTGGGGTTGCTCATGTGGGATCCAGCTCCCTCAATCTCTAGACTACAGGTCTGGCCTCTAATGTAAAATTTTTAAAAAGAAAGGTGCATCCTGTCTGGGATGCTCCTGAGGGAAGCTCCGCCATCTTAGGTCTCTCTCAGCCTCCATTGTGTTGTTTCCACAGCAGGTGAAGCTCGAGAACCAGCTGCGGGACAAAGAGTTTTACAGGCCCATTCCCAACCCCAACCCCAAGCTAGCAGATGGGTACCCTGCCTTCAAAAGACCCTACATGACTGCCAGAGACCTGGGACTCCCCGGCTTCTTCCCATCACAGGACCGTGTGGCCCCGGAGGAGGACGAGAGCAAGTTCACCAGCACCTGCCCTTTCACATACCCAGTTTCTTACGCTCTGTACCAGGCCCAAGGTGATCCGAGCCAGGTGCACCAAAGTACCGATTTCCCGTGCCTTCTGGAACCCGAGCACCAGCCCGCTGCAGAGGAGGGCAAAGGCTACCTTCTACTGCCTGGCTGCCCCTGTCCTCATCACCACAAGGTCAAGGTCCCCGTCTTGGACCGGTGGGGGCCCTTGATGCCATTTTACCAGTAGGAAGGGTTAGCACACCTTCCAAGGGCTTTCCACGGGCATATGGAAATCCCACGCCACAGCACTGCCCTTGGAGAGAGAGAGGCAAATAAAACCCAAAGGTGTTTCCCAGCACTGGGGCTGTGCTTGACTCCTTCGCTCTCTGGCCTGCCCTGGGGCGCAGCATCCCCACTGCAGAGGAAAGAAGAGGGAAAATCAGTGTGTGTGGAAGACCAAAGTTTACCTCATGCATCATTATAATTAAGAGTCCTGTCGTAAAGATCCTCATTATGTAGCATTTACTCATAAAATGGGGAAAGTTATGTTCCCCAAGGTCCTCTGGATGTTGGGTGTAATTGTGAAATTCAAGGTGCTGTTGAGTAACTTTTCCCTCAATACTCCTATTTTACAACTCCCACTCTGTAGCAAGCAACGACAACGGTTTAAGGGCATCATTTTCATACATTTTTTTCTTAGTGGAGCACATGTAAAAGTATGTATGTATGGTCAGTTAGGAAATAGGCTAAGCTTCCATAACAAAGAACCAAAATACAGTGTCTTGACCAACATGCTAGTTTATTTCTCTCTTCTAGCAGTTCAGAGGTAAACAAACTAGAAAGGTAGCATATATTTGCTCTGGCTCCTATGATCATGCCAAATTGGGGGTATTTTCTCTGTTTCTTTCTAGCCAATGCTTACACCTTTTGGCAATAAATTTAAAAAAAAATAGTAAGATGCTTAAGAGGTGTTAGCCAATGCTTACACCTTTTGGCAATAAATTAAAAAAAAAAATAGTAAGATGCAAAAGAGGTGTCTGGGAGGACCAGCAGTTAGTGTAATGGCTATGTTGCTGGACTCCCATGTAGTCCACTACGGTTCGAGTCCCAGACCCGGTGGCTTAAACTCACACCGGGCACGTGTGTGTGCGTGCCCAAGATCCTGAGAAGAGAATAGAGGAGAAGGGATTGCGGTGTGGCCATCCCCTCTGGGGGTGATTTCTTGCTTTCTGTCTCTCTGTCTCTCTCTGTCTTTCTGGCGAGCACATATGCTCCATAGCCAAAACCTCTCAAAAAATTGTCTTCAAAAAGTGCCATTATTACGAATTTTTAATCTGGGAACACTTTTTTTTTTAAAAGAATTATTTATTTAATTCCATTTGTTATTCTTTTAAAAATTTGACTAGAGAGAGAGAGACAGAGAGAGAGAAAGGGAAAGGGAGAGAGGAGGAGAGAGAGAGAGAGTGAGAGAGAAAGCAAGTCGCCAGGTCTGGAAATTGAACTGCAGTCAGCCATGTGGGAGTCCGCGCCTTTAACCACCACGCCACTTGCCAGCCCCTCTGGGAAAGTTTTTATCCACCCGAAGACTCATAAATCTGATCAGCTGAGCAGGTTTTTCATTTACAAAGATCACAATGAAACAGAAGATGATACCCATTGGCATTAGTACAATTTCTAAATGGCAGTGAAATCTTTAAGCAGCCAAGGTATCATGGTTTATAAGGTTACCCTGCCATCCAGAATTTATAGCTTACTTCATGCACTCAATAGGAAGGGATACATTTATGTGATCCCAGAAGGAAGGACAGATCCTGACTTCATGTGGTAGGTTACAAGCAACACAGCGCTTTGAACCACCACAAGGATTCCCAAGTTCCCAATTTAACATGACATCCAACATTTCTGTCCCAAAAATCTTTCGGCTGCATGGTTGTTTTTTCATCACACAGATTACTGGAAACTTTCTTTGAACATAGCATGATACTGGGGTGTGGCGAGTGAACTCTACTGTCCCAGTTCACACATGATTGAACATTCAATGACAATACCTAATGACTGCTCATTGGGTGTTGATACTACCATAAGTGAGAAGACAGGGGAACTCAAAGCAATGTGGGCCCATTCAGTTCACAGGACAGCTGCTTCCTAGATACGGATCGAGTGGCTGAGGTTGCAGGTTAGGTATTACAGGCATTCGTCTGATTTGACCTGGAGCTGGGATTCAGTACAGGTTACATAAAAATGCTCTAGACCATGGGACAAAACAGAAAGCATGAGGAGCCCTTCTAACACGCTGGGATCTTCATTGCTGCAGTTCCCAAACCAAGGCTCCACAGCACACAGGAAATCCTAGCCCTATTTTTACAGATAAGAAAACAGGCGTAGGGTGGTCGCACAACTACTGAATAGTGAAGACAGACATGACTCTCAGTAGTCTATCTCTTAAGATTATAAGCACTGGTGGGACCAGCAGTTAGTGTAATGGCTATGAGGCTGAACTCCCATGTAGTTGACCACGGTTCGAGTCCTGGACCTGGTGGCTTAAACTTATGCCAAGCACGTGTGTATGCCCAAGATCCCGAGAGAAGAATGGAGGAGAAAGGATTGCGGCATGGCCATCCCCCCTAGGGGTGTTTTTTTTCTGTCTCTCTCTGGTGAGTACACACACCCTATAGCAAAAATATCTCTGGAGAAAAAAATAAAAAAGATTATAAACACTGAGACTACCAGGTGGTGTAGTGGTTGGGGCACTGGACTCCCTCATGGCCGACCCCTGTTTGAGTCCCAGACGTGACAGCTTGTGAGTCACACTGGACACATGTGTGTGCATGCCCAGAATTCCAGGAGAAGGGAGGTGGCGTGGTCATCCCTTCTGGAGGGTGATTTCTTATCGTCCCTCTCACTCTCTCTCTCACTGTCTCTCTCCAGTGAGCACACGTAAAACTAAAAATAAATAAATAAAAAGATTATAAGCACAGGGGGGCAAAAAATAAAAAGGATGCAGACTGAGGGTGGGGGAATGCCTCTGGGTATTGTTGGAGCTAACTTCTCTGAGACTCAGGATGGGAAAGGCTCCCACAGAAGCTCTCTGGAGGCAGATTTAAGGCCGTCTCTTGGAGAAGGGAGCTCAGTGTGCTCACAGAACAGGGATAAAGCCAGTATGGCTGGCCTTGGCAACTGGGAATGAATAACTGAGCTGTGGATTGAGTGAGTATCTGATTGCCTTAAAGCAGCAGTCCTCTCTTAGGCGATTACCTCTTCAGGTGGCCAGGAGGGCCTTGCCTATTCCATCACATGACAGTTCGGTGCTTCAGGAAACTCCTCCTTGCAGTAAGCTTTGCTAGATTGTCCACAATGACTGTTTTCCATTTTAACAGAATCCCTAAGATTTTTAGCCACAGCCACTTCAAATAAAGACTACATTTCCCAGCTACCCTTGCATGAAACCTGGCCGTCTGAGTAAATTCCATTGGTCACAGCAAAGGTCATGCCCTTCCCTTCCTTATTCTGCTGCTTGGGTGTGAATTGTGAGCCAAGTGGATCTTGTGGACCATGGCCATGCCTCAAGATGGAGGGACGACTGAGGAAGAAGGCTGGATTCCTGACTGACTACACACAGCGGTCACCCCAGCTCTGGAGTGTGGCATGGAATAGCAATACACCACCAGTTGTTTAAGCCAATGGTTTTCAACCTTGGCTGTGCATTAGAATCACTTGCAGAGCTTTCCAAATATATGCTGGTACTTTCCCCCTCATTAAGTCCTGATTTAATTGGTCTGGATACAGCCCGGGCTTTGGCTATTTAAACTCCCATCAAAGCTGAGAACCCTTGGTAATTAGGCTTCTGTTGCAGACACTTGAGCCTGCATCCTAACATGCCCAAACTCAGGAGGTCTTGGCTCTTAAAGCTGTGTCCCAGAGAACAGTCACACTGCCCTGCTGGACACATCTTCAAATCAAGCCAGGTGAGCTGCCTCCCCTCCCACCCTCCTCCGCCCCATGGCATCTTGTTCTGGCCTTTGTGAGAGGACGGCTGTTTGGAAAGAGCTTCACAAAGACGGAAATCCTAAGAGTTAACCAGGGAGAAGTTTCCAGAGTGAAGGTTCATGTAGGTGGAAGCAGTAGAGAAGGAGGTGACCAACAGGGAAACAGGAGCATCACAGCTCAAGGAAAGGCCGGTGCTTGACTTACTATTCCTGAATAGCAAAATGGGCATACGGGGGAAACAAGAGTCGAGGCTCAGCCAGGTCAGCTGGTGTGGAGGGCCCTGTATACCAAGCTCATGAGTCTGATTTTTTTTTGCTATGGGGTATGTGTACTCACTGGAAAAAGACAGACAGAAAGGGAAAGTGAGAAATTACCCCCCCCACCCCAGGGATGATGGCCATACTGCAACCCCCTTTTCTTCCATTCTCCTCTCCAGATTTGGGACACACATGCATATATGCCCAGTGTTTTTAGAGAGATTTTTCCTATAGGGTGCGTGCAGTCACCAGAGAGACAGAAAGCAAGAAATAACCCCCTAAAGGGAATGGCCATGCCACAGTCCCTTCTCCTTCATTCTCCTCTTGGGATTCTGGGCATACATGTACATGTGCCCAGTGCGTTTCAAGCCTCCGGGTCTGGGACTTGAACTGCGGTCAGCCACGTGTGAGCCCAGTGGTGCGCTGGTCCCCTGGTGTACCTTTCAAGCCACTGTGTCTGGGACTCAAACTGCAGTTGGCCATGTGGGATGCAGCTGCCTTAACCTCCATGCCACCAGCTGGCCCATGAGTTTGACTTTTAACCAGGAGATGACCAAGAGCTTTCAGGATGGTAAACAGTAGATACATCGCGTGACCAGATTTATGCTGTAAAATATTCCATTACATCAGCATGAATTGACTCCAGACTGGAGGTGGGAGTCTAGTCCTGAACTCCAGTGAGTGGTGGTGGGGACCAGTGGGGACAACCTGCGTGATCTGAAGTTTTGCTAGATGATGGATGTACTTTAAGATTTTTATCAGCCTAGAGTTCCATTTGTCTACAAACGTTGTGTTGTAACCAGGTCTTTCTTGACCCACATTTGTCCAGGTTTTAGGGATTGAAGGAAGGGTTAGTCTCTAGCACAGCGCCTTCCCCACTTCAGTGGCTTGGCGCTATTAGTAGAATCAACCATGGTCTAGCTGCATTTCACTCATTAATGTCAGTCTGGTCTCTAAGCAGCCAGGCTAGGGCCAGTACAGAAGGAGGGTTGAAGTAAATCTAACCCCATCCACATCCATTTCAAACATTGCTATTGTTTGAATATATCCCACCACCCAGATTCATGCATTGGAATGTAGTTATATTGTGAAGGTATTATCTGGGTGAGGAGGTGGCCTGGTGCTTCAGGTGTT